TTTTAGGAAAAAGGGAGGACTAGACCTCAAACCATATGTGGACTATTTAGAATTAAAAATAAGAATGTAAGCAGATGACGCTAACAGTATGGAAACCTGTTTCTTTATAATTAGACGTATTCTGGCTATAGTCACTGCAAATAGTGTATTAGAACACTATGGTGATAAACAGTGAAATTTCCCAATTTTGTTATACATCCAAATCACTAAGGATCAATAAAATTCACTGTTGTGTGCTTGCCACAACACTCTGACTTCATCTAGTGGGATGTATCAGGAGTTTTAACATCTCCTTAAACAATTCTATTTGCAAAAGTTTGGCAATCACTGGGTTAAAAATCTAAGAAAACTTTCATGAAATCATTTGCGTTAGTTACACATCCCTCAGGCCTATTGCCTCTGTTGCAATCTCAACCAGAAATCCTTGATCAAAACACCCAAAAGAATGGCCATTTCCCTCTAGAATAATTACAGCATGTGACCCTCCCCTTCTCGCCTTCTGACCTCTCTCCCTTTCTGGCTTTGAAATTGGCATTTTTTTCCCTCCAGCCCTATTGCAGATATCCTAACTGAGACCTCGCAGTGCTGCAGGATTTGGCAAGAGTCTTTCAAAGTCCTAGTCATCCAGCTGTTTCTGGAGCTAAAGCTTTAAGTTTCAGGTTTCTCTTCATTTGCATCATCAATATTGATCAATTACTTCTAAGATGCCAATTCTTCCAACTCCCCTCTTGGATCCTGAACTTCACCATCCTAAACCTAGCTCAGTGGGGTAAAGGGGAAAATTGCAAAAATTGTTGGCGTGGAATCTCAAGTCTGCATGTGTCTTCATGGGCTCTTGGGCCAGCACTGTAAGGAGAAATCCTGTGCAGTCACAGGTGTCACAGATGCTCATTCTCCCCTGACCTTTCTCTCAATCAGATGAGACTTCTTCCCAGTTTGAACTCCTAGAAAACTTGACTAATTCAATAGTATAGTCCAGTTCAAGGTCATTATGGTCTATAATTCTTGGATTAAATTTTATCCCCATTCCTTAATACTAACATTGTGGCTTTGACTAAGTTGCGTAATCTTTCTGAGGCAAGTTTCCTTTAAGAAGTTGTCTTGGAGGAGGGAAGGGTTAGATATATGTAAAGTGTCTAACTCAGTTCCAGAGACTAAACAGATATGTGACAAACAGTAGCTGTTATTGTACTTTTCTTATAAGCTGGATCATATTTTGCCTTATAATATGATTATTTAAAATTGTTTCTGAGTATAGTTGTATTTTTTAAAAAGATTTATTTATTTATGCATACAAGAGCTGGGGTACAGACCACAGGTGTTGGGGAGAGGGGTGAGAGGATTCACCAGAGACAGAGTAGGAAGAACAGGCAGATCACTGAAGTGCACTTGCTGAAGGGAGCAGCCCATAAGACAGGAGAGGTCTGCTGTGCCATGTGGGTCAGCATCCTGGCTGGGATCCAACTCATGCTGCAGTGGCTGAGGATAGTGCTGTAGCTCAGCCCATTGCGCCACCAGGGAGACCCTGAGTATAGTTTTCGTGTGATGAATTTCAATAAGATGTGAGGTGAATCTTACTCATTTCTAAAATAATCTTTAGTACAGATATACAGAATTTAAAGACATCCATTTATAAATATTGTTATTTAAAACAGTATAAGATTTAAGTGTGACCTAGTTATATTTATTTTGACCCAAATACCAGTGACATCTTGTAGATTGTAGGCAAGGTTGTATATGAACTCCACATAAATGATATTCAAAGCATACTTCAATAAGTTAAAGTATATGGAGTGGAACGAGACTTAATCTAAGCAGATTGCTATAAGAGGTGAAAGAATTAAAACCAAGTTGAGGGTGATGGAAATGATTTTTCTAGAGGAAGCTATCATACCAGCTGCTGCTAGCTCTGTCCTCTGGTCACTTAGTGCTACAGACTGGGTGTGCAGGGATGAAAGAGAACAGAGGAAGAAGCTCTGGGGCATATATGCTCTATTCTCCAATTACATTAACTCATCACTCCAATTTAGTAAAAAGTCAGGGAGTTCATAATGTAACAAACTAGCTACATGTTCTTAGAATACCAATCTGTTATAAAACTTTGCCAAAAGGACTCACCACATGGATCCATAGCTAAAGGCTTTTCCCACAGTGCTGATAATACAAAATAAATGGATATGAAAAAGGTATGTACTTAGAAATTCAAGAAAAATATTTTAAAAGAAAGTTTAGCTAGCAAGGAAACTGTGTTAAAAAGCTCTTATGAAATTCAGTATTATGGGGATATAGCTTTTAGACCTGCCCCACCCCCCACAAAATCAGTTCTATCTGACTTACTTTCTAGTAACAATATCTTTTTCATTTCTTGCATAATTCCTGTTTTCCAAGAAGGTAGCTTGCTAGATATCATCTTTGCTCTATGGAAAGTCACATTCAAATGCGATGCTATTTTAATGACTTAAAACCTTGAATTTCTGCAAGCAGCATAACTTTCTCTGATAGAGTAATATTTCAGTTCTCAGTACAATACAAGTAACTCAGGTAATAAAAATTTGTCACTATATCTACAGTTTTTCTTCTCAACTCAGGCCATACGTAAATTAGAAAGAGAATAAGAATGGTGAGATCTTAACTACAATTCTGTAAACCAGAACTGTCTACTTACAATTGTGAATTCTTGTGCCCAAAATGCAAACGCATAAATAATGTACATGCTAAAAATAGACACTTAGACACTTGATAAATTTCTTTATCAAAAATGTAAAAGTATAGTCAAAATACTAAGAAAACCTTGCCTGGGTACAACGGGTATTCATAAAATACTACCGACTGTATGACTAATCTAATTAAGCCTCTAGGAAAATGCAGTGAAAACTAATACAATGATTGGAATGAAAACGTTTAGATTTAAGCGTTCTTTCCAACTCCAGTCTGTAAAATTAAAAATTATGTCTACAAATAGTTTGATGGGCATAATATGTTTGTACCAGTTATTTCCATAGAAACACATTTTAATTTTAAAGCATCATTGGCATGTTTGAACGTGTTGGTGCTTAAAATTTTTGTTAAGGTCACTTAAAAAAAAATCATAGACTTCCCAAGTTACATTATTAGCCATAGCCACAATGAGAAATGGGCTGCATGGGGGGGTGGGGGGGTGCGGTGTGGAGCAGATTTTAAACCCACAAAGGACTCTATACAATTATTTCACTTGTCAGCAGAGACCAACTATCAACTCCCTTAGCTTTACTTTGACACAGAACTGAAAGTTTATTATATACTCAGGCCTACGATTCGGGGAAAGCCCTTCCGTAGCCAATCAACGCTTCTCGATCTATTGCGTCACACCTCCCCCGGGTGTGACGTCAAAGGCAAGCCCATCCACGTGGGATGGGTGTGTAGCATTTCTGGGCAGCTGTTAAGGAAACGCCTGCCAAAAACGGTTCCCGGGAGTGGAGAACTGAGCAGGGCGGGGCCAATAGAACCTTCAGGGAGCGCATTACACAGCCTGTGGTGCCAGCTTCCCCAGAGCCTCTCCCTCCACCACGCTCAACGCCCGTGCCGAGAGGGCCGAGGCGCGCGGGGCGAACTCAACGCCCGTGCCGAGAGGGCCGAGGCGCGCGGGGCGAACGCGTCCAAGCCCTCTCGGCACGGGCGTTGAGCGTGGTGGAGGGAGAGGCTCTGGGGAAGCTGGCACCACAGGCTGTGTAATAGGACCCAGGTCTTGTAAACCCTCCTCCTTAGGCACAGCCTCTCCACCCAGAGACCCTCCTTCCAGCCTAATTATCCTTTCAGCTCCGTTTCCCCTCTGAGGCGTTTCCTCGCTTAGAGGTAAAAGCCTCTCCCGACTCTCAATACCCGCCGGCACACAGACCCTCCTTTCAGACCCGCCCTCCAGTTCACCGGGACGCTTTTCTGAGCCAGGGATCTGGCTGGGCGGGAACTAGCGTGACGAATTGTGCCCGAGGTGTAATCGATCTCAAAGCACTCTCTTCTCGCTAGTCTCCCACCCTTCCCCCGGGCTCGGGGGATTCCCCAGACCCCACGCTCAGTCTGGAAGCTGGGATCAGCCCCCCGTCTCCACCACCACCACCACCACCACCACCCGGCAGTGCCCCCATGCCGCAGCTGCAGAAAGAAGCGCCTGCGAGCTCGGTGCCACGTCGGAACTGGCTCCCGGTACACAGTCGCTGCCAGCGCGCAGCGCGCGGTCCCAGCGCACGCGGTGCCCCGGTGGTGGCGCGGCGAGCGGGTGCGGAGGAGGGGTGCACGCCCTGCTGCCACCCGGGTCTGCGAGCGCCACTGCGGCGTCCCACGACCCCAGGACCGTGAGAGGCTTCCCGAGCCAGACTGAGCCGGGATAAACCCAGTCCGACGCTTTAATGGGGTTCAGGGAGTGAAAAGGAGAGGAAACCGGGGAAAGAGGGGGGAGTGGCTCGGGGAGGCCGGTAGCGGCGAGGAGGTGGCGGAGGACCCTCCTTCCAGTGGTCTGGACCCACGATCGCCTTAACCCTTTGCATTCCAAGTAAGTGGCGGGATTTCCACCCTGGAGGAAAACGTACTGGGGTTTCCTCCCCACCTAGAATGTAAGGGGGAGGCGGGAGTGAGAGGAAAGGGTGGAAGGGGAAAGAGGAAGGGGGGGGCCACGCGGAGGACACAGTCCTTACACGGTGGAAATTCTTGTGTGCTAACTCGGGAGCCCCTCTGAGGCTCCGGAAGATGCAGAATGGAAAAGTACCTCCCGGGACGTGCGGTCTCTGCCAGCCTGAGATTACCTGTGCTCGCAAGAAGGCGGCGGATTTCTGGCCAGCGCCAGAGTTGGGAAAAGACTGGAGTAGGTGGCTAAGCCTGACAGTTATCTGCAATATTCCCAGACTTTCAGTCGGTTAGAAATTGTCAACCTCAGACGTTTCTGTGGAAAACGGACTGAGGTCACATCTTCCCGCGCCCTGCCCTTTCGAGGACCCTCCACGCTCACCAAATCGCGCCGTGTCACGTACCTTGTCCGGCTCTTGGTCATAAAGTTGTCCTCGGCCTGTTTGTGTGGTCCCGGAGGGTCGGTGGCGGGCAATTTCCAAAATTGAGGTAATAAGAGATCAGATGAATTTGAGACGACCGGCCAAAAAAAATAAAAAATTTAAAAACAACATTTAAAAAGGATTGGGGGGAGTCTTAAACGTTTGTTTCTCTCCCACTTAAAAAGGCAATGAATGTTACTATTCTTTTTAATTTTTCCGTTGCACTTCTGTCTTCTGATTCTAAAAGCAAATTTTGTCTGTGCTTTAAAAATAAATTAACTTTATTATTATTATATATGTATATATTTTTTGCTCTAGTACCCCTCCCCGGATGGCGTTCCGTCTCTTCTTCTTGTTCTTCTTCTTCTTCTTTTTTTTTTTTTTTTTCGTAATATCACAAAAAGCGGGTTGAAGATTCAGCAGAACCCAGGAAGCGCAGAATCGGGAGAAAGTCTTTGGCGGGGTTGGTTTCTGAATGGGCTGCTAGGAGCCAGCCGTGGGTAATTCTTTCCAGACGTCGTGACTTCTCGGTCCTCGAAGAGTTGCCTTTCTGCCTCCTCCAACTTAAGGGGGTCTTAACAAGTGAGCCGGTGGGTGTTTTAATAGGACGGAGGAGGGAGTGGGGGGTGAGGGGAGTGGAGAAGGGAGGTGCGGACTGGGGATCGGGGAGGGGAGGGAACTGGGAGCGCGGGAGGGCGGGAGGCGGGGAGGGGGAGAGGGAGAGAGAGATTGGCCATTGAAAGCCTTCTCAGAGCTAGAAGCCGGTTGTGAACTCCAATGAATTCAATTAACTTGATTGCTAACGTGTGCAGAGAAATGCGGGGCACACAGGCAGGTCGCCACCTGATCCCCCATTCCCTGCAGCCGCGCAGCGGGGAGACCACACTTTGTAGACTTCCTAAACTCTCCCCTGACTTACGGGGATTCCCTCTGGGCCATCAGCTCCCCTAAGCGTTTGATTGTTTTAAAGCCGAGGGTGCCCTTAGCTGACCTGGGGAGAGAGTTAGGAGGTGCGTGAGAGCGTGCGTGTGTGTACACGTCGATATTCATACACACACACACACCTGGAACCCCCGAAAGCTGGCTCCACTCGCTGCAGTCGGCAACTGGTCTACCGCTAGTTAACCCTTTCTCCCCGCCGACCCCGAAGTTTCCGAGCTGCGATCAAGTGTCCAAGCCGAGTCCGCCTTGGGTGGGCCGGAGAAAGTGAAAAAGGAAAAGCGGGGTTTTTCCCCCCTTTAACCTCAAGTAAGTATACGCAAACCGCGTGCATTTTAAATGAGATGTCTTAAATGATTATCATGCTCTGGAGGACTCGAAAATAGCGCGCTTAAAAATATAGCTATTTCCAAGGGGTGGTTCTAATTGCCGTGGCTTCTTGAGAGTCTCACGCGAAGATCGTGGGTCAAAATACTTATTGTTGCGCCTTCTTTATTCGTATTTTGCTTCGAAACGACCTTTTCCCGTCTTTCTCTCAATGCCCCACGCCCGGGAAGAGTCACTTTGCTCTATCACTTTCCCCCACCATCCTCTGTGGTCTTCGCCAACCAGCGCCTGGTAATCTAAAACGGACGGTAGGTGACACTGTTGAGGCGAAAATGAGGCTTTTTACAACTGCACTGATTTGGCCTCTGGAGATTCCCAGAAATGATCCTAGGATCCAAAAAGCTTTTTTTTTTCGTTCATTTTTTTTTTCCTTTCGAAGTTTTTCTGAGGTGTGGATTTCTTCCCAATTCGACTAGACCTTGCAACTGGCTTTCAATTCCTTATCACTTATTTGGGACAATCACGAACAAGTCAAAACAGGAAAAAAATCGAGTCAAGGAGGAGCGAAGTTTTCAACCCTTCACTCAGCGGTGTGTGACCAGATGGAGCATTTTATTGCAATATCAGGTAGTAGGCCAGTCTGGTCCCCCGAGGCCAACCTGTAAAGCGCTGGGGTTTCCTTCCGCCCTTCCCTGCCCGCACAAGGACTGGTCACACCTCTGGAAAGCATGCCCTTGACCTGATAACTTCAGACCGCTCTGGGGTGCACGGCTTACCAATTTCCCTTACACACTTTCCAGGCTTGTTTGAACCCTGCCTGAGGTGGTTCTGCTGTTGAGGAACTGGCTTCCATTTCAGAGTACAATTTCATCCCCACTTAATCATGTTCCTGCATCGTGAGTTTTAGGGTAGTTTTAAATGCAAACTTGTAGTTTTAAATATAATACCTAACTTATGTTCTCTGACATCCAATATGGATTAGGCTGACTGAGGAGTATGGTAGAAATGATGGAGTGTCATGTGTCTGACTGTGGGGCCCAGGGCTCTGGAACACTTACCCTTAGCGCTGAACTCTCTGAATTTTATATGTAACACAGGGTTGCCAAGTGAAACCCAGTAGCATTTAACTGATCCTGTGTTAATAATTCAAGCCATGAGGACATTGAGGAAAACTTGATTAAGACACGTTTGTTACTCTCTCCCCTTGTCTTTCATGGTCTATAACTGTGACTATGGATGAATAAAGAAAGCTAAAGTCCACAGCCAGAAGTTGCTGCCATTCCCCACCACCACCACCCCCAGTCCCCCATAGGGTAGAGACAGTTCAAGGTATTAATTCCATTTATATGTCCAGAGGCCAAATGCAGATTCTCTTTTGCTGCCAGTGTGATGCCAGAATTATATTTCACCTTTCTAGACTTTTGTCTCCTAAATAGGTAAGTGGAAAAAATACCTGCTTCCCTAGCCTTGATGGTAGAATTTCACACCGCTTTGGTGACAGAATGTACTAAATTATGTTAACAGATGAGCATGAAGCCTCCACCTCAAACTGAGGTAGGACTGCTGAATATAACCCAATGGTTCCTAATTTAACCTTTGTGGCTACTCAAAAAACATTGGTGCCCTTCTGGTATTTTATTCCTGTGCTCTCTTATTTGAATTCTAAGCCACCGACTGTCCCCTCAATTGAATTCTGTGTGTTCATGGACATACCCCAAACCCTCACACTTCACCCAGATACTTTTCTGAGTCCCAGATCTAGGTTATGGATACCAGTCACCTAGCACTGATTCATGAGCAACAAATTAGAAGAAACTTTGGGACCAGCCAATTGAGTAACATTATGTAGTTAATTTAAAATCAGCGTGAGATGTTTGGATCAAGGGGTGACAAAGGTTCTTATGTCTGAGAGACCAAGTACACAGGGCAAGGATTATTCCTCTATAATCTTCTGTATAAATGGTTTTTGGACTTTTTGGTAAAAGGTCCTGTCTACAGACTCTTAAAAATCATTGAGGACTTCAAAAACTTGTTCATAATGATGTGTATGTATCTAGCAACATCACATTAGAAGTAAAAGTGACTGATATACTTTTAGAATATTTATTAATTTGTTTAAAATAACAACAAATTATTGAAAAAAGGCTCCCCCCCAAAAAATAAAATGATAATAAACCCTAACTGCATGTGAACTTAACATTGGGGGGGGAGGTGTGAATTGTTTTCCATTTTTGTGAATCTCTTTACTATTTAACTTCAAAAAAGATAACTGGATTCTCACATCTGCCTCACCACTCAATTATTGTCTTGATTGATGTATGTAAAAAAAAAAAAATCTGGCTTCAAACATAATTTTTTTAAATATTTATTTATGTATACAGAACTGAGGTACAGGCAAGAGGTGCAGGGGCCATAAAAGGATTCACCGGAGACAGAGTGGGGAGCAGAACAGGCCCACTGACCAAGTACACTGCTGAGGGGAACAGTGGGTGGATCAGAAGAGGTCTGCTGCACCATGTGGGCCACCCCCCTCCCCATCAAATTCATGCTGAAGTGGCTTTAGCTTCTTAGTGCTGTGCTTTAACCCGCTGCGCTGTTAGGTTTCTTCTTTGATATAGCAAAGGTTTATATATTCATCATTAATCTAAAACAATATGAATGAATTTTGTGGTTTTTAGATTAAACTTTGTTGGTCTATTTACATTTAATGTGTTTTTTTACAACCACTCATGAATTTTACAAATCAGGTATTGAAACTATCAGTTGGCTGTTAAACAGATATTTCAAATATCAATATATTTAATTATTCAAAATTTAAAAAAAAACTACAATCATTAAAATCACCATCAAACCCATCCAATAAGTGTTCAGATATTGGGAAGATGTCAAAGTCATGGTGGTAACGTTTTCTAACATTCTAGTTGTCTCCTGAAAGTTCTGGTCACTAGCAATGAACACTGTCATTTGTTTTCACTCTATATAGGATGAAAAATGCATCCATTTTTCTTGATTTTAAGATTAATTTATTTTATTTTTGTTTTTATATGCTTATAAGGACTGGGGTATAGGAGAGGTGCAGGAGGTAGGATGAGAGGATTCCCCAGAAACAGCAGGGAATAGAATAGGCAGATCTACTGAAATACACTGCCGAGGGGAGCAGGAGAGGTCTGCTGTGCCATGTGGGCTAACTCCCTGCAAGGAGGGGGTGTGTAGTGGGGGAGAACTCATGTACCAGGCACTGAGACTTAACCTTTGCACCACCAGGGAGGCCCAAATTCATTCATTTTTCAATATAGCAAAATGTCTTCCAAAATTCCCAAATCTGAATATTGGTAAAGTTTAGCTGTTTTTTCAAATGATAATGATATTGCATAATAAAAATAACCTGCTCAGCTCATAATTCAATTCTATGAAGACTTGTCCTGTAGACAACCAAGATAATGTATTTTCTATTTCTTTGTATAGATGATTTGAAAATTAATAATATCCAGCTCTCTATCAGGGTCTTCTTAAATGAAATTTATATCTAATTGTATCTACTCTTTGTCTCCTGTAAATGTATGGGGTACAGAAGGCAATGACTGATACTATAGTATGGCACCACTGTAAAATAAAAGATACAAATATCTTTTAGTATCATAAAAATAGCATTGATCTTGTTGATCCCCTGACAGCTTTTGGGGGACTCACCCATCTGGTCTACAGACCATACTTTGGATATTTACTTTGTTCATGTCAGCTGGAGTGTACAGGAACCCTGGACCTACAACTTGCTTGACAACATTCCTATTATTGAGCTCCTGGGCTCACAGAAACTCAGCCCATCAGTAGTGGGAAACACTTCACCTCAGTGTAGAGGTTTCCTATTTTCTGGAAGGCAATGGCTCCAGAACCAGCTGGGGGGCGGATGAGGGAAGCTGGGGGGTAGATGAGGGATGAGGGAAGGTTGGAGTTTCAGGTGGGAGAACTCATCTAGAAGTAACCTGTGATTTATTAACATTCTAAATCTCA